GCTATGAAAGGTCCTTTTGGATAAATGTAATTTGGACTTTTGACATAGTGATATGATGAGTTGAAATAGATTTGTAGACTTTGTAAAACATCTCAGTCCAAAGAGAATAATAATTATTTATGGTAGGCTAAGGTAACAGAATTGAGAAATTATACAAGGAGAAAAAACTATAACAGGAAATAGAGCCAAATAAGTTTGCTCCTTAGAAAAGGAAGCTTAAACTCCTTATATTCCTTATACTGATAATTAAGAGTAAATGAGATACCACAGGCAGCAAATGGAAAATTTTAAATTATATTCCAAACTATCTCTAACATTTCAGGGCTCATCATCGTTATCTGGTACTTTTTTTTCCTCCTAGTCAGGTAAATTTCTGAACCCTATTGTCTTTTCTTTCTATGATCTTATCTTTTTGAGGTGGAATATGCACTCAGCCTTCCATATTCACGGATTCCATCTGCAGATTCAACCAACCTCAGATAAAAACTATTTGGAAAAAATCAATAATATAACAATAAAAAATACAGTATAACAGTTATTTACATAGCATTTAATTTGTATTAAATATTAAAGTAATGTAGAAATTATTTAAAGTATACAGGAAGATGTACATAGGTTATATACAAAAATTTGGTTATTTTATTAGGGAACTTGAACATCTGCACTTTTTGGTATCCAAAGGGGTACCTGTAACCAGTCTGCCGAGCATACCTATGGTTGACTGTATAATGTAATCATGCATCACTTAATGATGGGGATTCATTCTGAGAAATGTGTTTGTCATGCAAACAGTATAGCATATACTATAAAAAAGCCTATTACACATCTAGGGTATATGGTATAACCTACTGCTCCGAGGCTACAAACCTTCACAGTACGTTATGATACTGAATACCATAGACAGTTGTTTCAAGGTAGTATTTCTGTTTCTAAACATAGAAAAGGTACAGTAAAAATATGATGTAAAAAGTAAAAAATGATGCCCATGTACAGGGCACTTATCATGAATGGAGCAACTGGGAGTTGCTCTGGGTGGGTCAGTGAGTGAGTGGGGAGTGAATGTGAAGGCCTAGCACGCTTAGACTATGCTAAGTTTATTTTTTAAATTTTTTCTTCAGTAAGAAAATAATTTTTGCTTACTGTAATTTTTATTTTATAAACTTTTAATTTAACATTTTTTGACTCTTTTATAGTAACACTTAGCTTAAAACACACACACATTGTACAGCTATACCAAGTATTTTCTTTCTTTATATTCTTCTTTTACAAGCTTTTTCTGTTTTATTTTGTTTGTTTTTTACTTTTTAAGCTTTTTTGGTTAAAAGCGAAGACAGAAACACACTTCTCTAGGTCTACACAGGATCAAGATCAGTATCACAATTTTCACCTCCACCATTTGTGCTACTTAGAAGGTCTTCAGGGGCAATAACACACATCGCCGTTATGGCCTATAAAAAAAAATGCCATCTTCTGTAATACCTCCTAAAGAATCTACCTAGGACTATAGGGGTTTTTGTTTTGTTTCAATTATTTTAGAGATTTTTTTTGCTGTGTTTCCCTAGCTGAAGTGCAGTGGCTATTATAGTGTACTGCAGCCTCAAACTTCTGAGTTTAAGCAATCTTCCCACCTCAGCTTTCCAAGTAGCTGGGACTACAGACACGCACCACCAGGCCCAGCTGCCTGATGCTGTATTACAGTTCATTAAAAAAAAAAAAAAGTAGAAGAAATACACTCTAAAATAATGATAAGTCATAGTAAATACATAAACCAATAACAATGATTTATTATCCTTGTCAAGTATTGTGTACTGTACTTTGTTTACACCATCATCGCAAATATGTAAGTAATGTATACAAAGTTACAATGACTATGAAGTCACCGGGCAATGGAAATTTTTCAGCTCTATTATAATGTTATGGGCCCACTATGATATATGCAGTCTTTTATTGACTGAAATGTATTATGTAACATGACTATATATAAATGCATAGTATATAAATATGTATATGTATTCATGTGTATATATATTTCTATATTCCCTCTAGCCGTCAGACAGTTACTGTTTTGAATCCCACATTGGGTAATTTGAGTCCCACGTTCTCTAGAAGACTTTTCTGTTTGATTAAGATGGTATTGGGGGGAGTTGAGGCAAAAAAAAAAGAAGATGGTATGGCAAGTACACTCTGCTTTAAGGAGTACATTAGTGAGAAAAAAGAGGATCAGCTTGCATAACTGGCGAATGTGAACATAGTCACCTTAACTCTTTAGAACCTATTCTTTTTTCTATTTTGGTTACTGTCTTCCTTTTAATATAAATATAATTTTTGAGTACTACATTATAGGTATTTATAGATTATTCAGTTGTTTCCTGTTAAAACCGTCAAATAGAACTTAGTGAAATCATGAAAATATTTTGTATTTGTATTGTACAGTATGGTAGTTCTAGCTATATTTGGCTGTTGAGCATTTGAAATGTAGCTGGTGTGACTAAGAAACTGAAGTTTTAGTTTAATTTTAAATAATTTAAATGTAACCACATGTGGCTAGTAGCTACTGTATCGGACAGCATGGTTCTACATTATTCATAAAATATAGGTTTTGAATTATAGCCACCACATTATTTTATTTTTCACATCAATTAAAACTTTGAGATAAATTAGAATCTATTTTAATTAGAAGGCATGTTTAAAGGGGAATATTAAGAATTATTAAAGTTCCCCCTTCACTGTGTATATCAATTCCCTAAAATTAAAACCAACCTTTTTACATACTTTAACCTGTCTCCAGGCTATTATCACCGCTGAGGAATATTGGCATTTACACTTATTTTTATAAATGGTGATATTATTGACATCAATTTGTCATTTAACATTGATTTTCTATGAGGAGTAAAGTATTTATTAATCTTGTTGGCTTGATGAGAGTATTTTGGGGGTTTTGTTATTTGATTATTTGCTGAGATTTGCCATTTAGATGCATAAAAATTTTTAAAAATTGGTTTTCCTCCTAATGGTTGTAAAAGCATGGTTTGGCTTAGAAATTCAAAGACTGATTCCCTTTATACTCACAAGGCCGTCACCACTGGAACAGATAAACATATGCCTCTTCACATGATGCAGTACGAAGGACCATCATCATTATAGTAATCGTGCCAAAAAATATTTAACTTGAACATAATAGGAAAACAACATTTAGATATTCTGATGTATGGAACATTGTGCGAAACAACTGTCCTGAATGCTTCAAAAATAACAGTATTATGAAATTGTTTTATACAATACACTAAAGAGACATGGCAACTAAATACGAGTGACTACTGAGTAAAACCTAAGTAAAACAAATTAGTGATATTTGAATATAGAATGCATAGCAAATTATGTCTATATTAATTTCTTTGAGTATGACATGATAATTTGGGTACGTAGAAGAGTTTTTGTTTGTAGAATGTGGATGCTGAAGTTTTTAAGGGCAAAATATCCTGATATTTGAAACTTATAAATGATTCGGAATGTGGGGGTTGTGGGTAATGTGTGTATAAAGCAAGGTGAAATATTTGCAACTGGTAAGTCTAGAGTGAAAGGTACAAGGTTGTTTGTTGTACTGTTCCTTCAACTTCTCTGCAGGTTAGAAATTTTTCAAAGTAAAAAACTAAGAAAAAAAGGTAGACTACACCCTAACTCCTCAAATTGTTAAAAGTATTTTTTTAAAATATGGCAATGCTTCAGAAGTATAAAGATATACATTCCTTTATATAAAGGAAAGAGAATTATTGAGGACCTCCCATTGACCTAAACTTATAATTTAACATTATAATGTTATTAAAGCATATGTACAGATGTAAAACTGTATTCATCTTCATATACCTCTGTCTCTTAAGTAACTATAAACTTGTGACAAATTCTAATTAAATACAATACAAATATTAACAATATGGTGGCATAATAGTAATAGAATGGACTGATATATGTTTTGCTGAAAATAAGTCACCACTTCACATAAAAATTGTTCTGAATACTGTTCTGACAGTTTCTTTGAAGTTGCACATTTATAGAAACATCTGCCATTTGCTCACTCTCTATACCACTTTCCTTATTCTAACTACTTTAAAACCTTTGTGCAGCACACAGTGACATAATTTAATCTCTACTTATATGCCTAAATCTTTTCCATATCGCATCCCTTTTTAAAATTAACTTGAGAATAAGGTAGTATATTGTACTGTAATTTATTGTATAAACTTAAACAGTAAAAGTGCAGTTTTGTTACATGGATATATTGCATAGGATGAAGCCTGGGCTTTGGCCGTTATCTGAATAGTGTACATTGTACCTAAGTAATTTCTCATCCCTCACTCTTTTCCTATCTTCCCACTCTTCTGAGTCCAGTGACTCTTCTTTCTGTACTGTTACTTTTATAATACCAAGTTATTTTCAACTTATAAAATAACTTGAGAAATTAATGACTACTTTATTAAAATGTTTTCCAATTCTGAAATATGACTAAACAAGAGAAGTATAATCTCTGTGATGTTCACACAATGATAAAGCCACCTAACAAAATATTTCCTGGAATGTGCCCCTGCCATTTAGCGATACATTTCTATATTTACTGTTTAGCAGGAGGTATATTTTATTATATGCAAAATATGTCTCAATAAAGTGTTTTTAAAAAAACAAGTGTAGGAAATGGGATATATACATATATATATATAAAACATTGCTTATCCAAATGCTCCATAATGTTTATATTAACTTTTTATGAAAGCTACTAAAATATACAAGTTGATTTTTAAATTTCCAATTATTTTAGACCCTTAATACTGTTTCTAGGGCAATATCTTCTTTATCTTTGAAAATGATTCCTAACCCTTAGTTTTCTAGCTGTTAGAGGTTTGACATTGTCTGTGAAACTTTTAATGAAAACTAGCAAAACCAGTTAAAATTAGTTTTGCATTCCATTTCTTCATTTAATACATTTTTCTCATTTTGTTTTGTTTTAGATCATTGTGTTCACTACTATGATCTTCGTAACACTAAACAGCCAATCATGGTATTCAAAGGACACCGAAAAGCAGTTTCTTATGCAAAGTTTGTGAGTGGTGAGGAAATTGTCTCTGCGTGAGTATTACTCTCCTCAGAGGTAGAGCTTAACACAGAGCTCTGTCATCACTAGTTTGTAAAGTCACTGCAGATGTATGTAAATAATAGCATTGACATGTATGTACGTTTTCTCAAATAGTATTTTTTTTGTCTTGTTCAGTTAAGATGGGTGTATATTATACTGGGTTGCACACTTTTATATGTAATTTATGAATGAAATTATGAAGATACTAGTTTTTAATGTAGCCCCCCCGTCTAATACTCCTGTTTATTGTATTTGATCAAATTAAATTTTAGCTACTGCTTCTCCTTCAGAACAGAGAGACAACATAGTTGATGCAATAGAATGAAAAGTATTTTATTTATTAAAGTCAATTGATGTTATTGTATATTTGTCTACTTGCATTACAGTAGAATTATTTTTGGTTTTAAATGTTATTTGATTTACACTGACATGTTTATCTCTCAGTGATTTCATGGTGGGTTTTAAATATGTTGTGAAGAGAACTTTCTAAGTATGACTACTCATACCTGACAGATGTCCTGTGAAAAGCCTTCTGAACTAGAAAATGATAATATAAACTGTTAGTTTCCCATTTTTACTTTGTTTGACGGTAATACGATGTCAGTGAAGTAAAGTATCCCAATAGTCAACATATTGACAAAACTCTTCTACCAACATAGGCAGTCTCATCTTTTGGTTATCCATTCCATAGTTCTCTTCATTTTATATTACCCTAGTAAATACTCATTTTTAATTTCTCTCTTTTTCATATCTACAATTTTCTCTCAAGCTTAATGATACATTGTTTTCTTCTTTTTTATTTAGTTTCTTATCTCTCTTAGGAGATTATTAATGCCAGTGCCTTATATTTGGTATCTCCCACCACATCTACCTCTACACTGGTTGCTCTAAATAAGAACTTGGTAATTTGAATTGATTTAGCAAGGTAATTTGAATTGAGTTATAAAAGAGGGGAAAAAAAGTGGGAACTGAGCTTTCCAAGGGGAAATAATATGGGTAATTAGTTCACAAATTTAAATTAACTGGTAACCAGTCAAAAGTATCCCATTTCTAAGAGTAAAAATAATGGGCAAGGAATAATTAAAATATTATTTAGATTCAAATATGGATGATAGACTGTATGGCAAAAGTATTTGTCCTCAGTTTCAAATTTATAAATGTTGATTCAATTAATTTGACTTCACTTTTATTATGTGTGTATTTAATTACATGTTGTAAGTTAGAAATTTTATTAAAGTAAAAATTTAGTGTATTTTTTTACCAAACTTTTTTCTTCTTAGTTCTATAAATTATTATTTTTTTCCTTGGATAGATTTGGCCCTTAGAAGTATATAGAACAAATTCATCTACCACAAGTATATTTAGAAATATTTAGACTAATATTAAACGTATTTTATAGGTAAAAGGGTATTTAGTATAACATTGTTGAGCCAAAAATAAAAATCTAAGAATAGGTGGTATGTTGAAAAATGACAAAATGCCACAGAGAAATATTTAGAGAATTAGGAGTTTAGCCTTTAAAATGAGACATTTTGAATCCTTGCTGTACTTTTTTACTACCTGCAGTACCTTGAAAATGTTCTTAATCTTCTAAACCTGTTTTTTCATCTAAAATGGAACTAATAATAGTAATTTACTTTGTGGCATGAGTTTTTAAATAAATAGTACTTATTTATTATAGTAAAAATAATGGGCAAGGGATAATTAAAATTGTTACTTATTAAATAATAATACTTGCATTGTGAGCTTGTAAAACCTTTAACATAGTGTCCTACTCACTCAGTGTTTAGAGTAAAAATGATTTGTTGTGCACTTAAAAATATATAAAATGTATTTTACAAGAAAAAATACAAAACATATTATTCAATGGGGTAAACAATGTATGGTGTAGTCTAATATTTTTAACAAAAAAAAAAAGAAAACCTCATGGTGTTTTATTAAAGTTATAAGATAGTCTTTATATGGTAGGATTACCAGTGATTTTTATATTCAATATGTTGGTAAATAACTGCATTTGCATATTATTTTAGCAAGATAAACTAGTTTACATCTTTCAGCCATAGCTCATACCCTATAGGGATGACTGAACTGCGAAAAGTTTATATTTAGAATACCAATATAATTCAGCAGTGGAAAAGTAAATCAGATGAAGAGGAACAAATTGTTCCCTGAAATTATATACAACTCTCAGTAGAGCTCTTTCACTGTTTGATGGTGGTAGTATGGTGGTACTGATGGCTAATGTTTATTGAGCACTTCCTACATGCCAAGGCACTATTGAAATCATTTTAAATGACTTTATGTAATTTTCACAATATCTCATAGGATTCATTTAATTCTATTAAATAGGAATCATTATATTTCACATTTGATGAAAAACCAAAGCTAGTGAGATTTCATAATTTGCTCAAGGCCAAAAGAAAATTAATGGCAGATTGAACACTCTAACTCAGTCTGGCTCCAGAATCTGCATTCTTAACCACCTAACTGCATTGCTTCTAATTAGTAATGATTGGTTTCATATCAAGAAATTTTAAATATTTTCTCTTTGTGTTTTACTTCAGCTCAACAGACAGCCAGCTAAAACTATGGAATGTAGGGAAACCATACTGTCTACGTTCCTTCAAGGGTCATATCAATGAAAAAAACTTTGTAGGCCTTGCTTCCAATGGTGATTATATAGCTTGTGGTAAGTGAACCTATTTTTTCCAGGAACTATTTAGCAGATATCTGTCACCGAAATTGAATTTAATGGAAATAGACTAAATACTAAATCAGGAAATTGTCTGTACACTCAAAAGTTAGCATCGGCTGGGCGTAGTAGCTTACACCTATAATCTCAGCACTTCAGGCGGTTGAGGCAGGAGGATTGCTTGAGGTAGCGGTTCGAGATCAGCCTGGGCTACATAATAAGACTTCATCTCTACAAAAACAACAAAAAAATAAATTAAAAAAATTAGCTGGATAGTCCCAGCTACTTGGGAGGATTGATTCAGCCCAAGGGTTCAAAGTTGGAATCAGCTGTAATCACACCACTGCACTCCAGCCCGGGCAACAAAGCAAGCCCATGTTTCTAAAAAAATTAAAAAGAAGGTAGCAAAATAGACCTGATGGCTCAGCACTGAGAATTTTCCTCAGGTTGTACTAGAAGATCATTGATCCTTCCTAATTTAATGAGCACACAAGCCCTGAACGCATGAAATAACATAAGATTGTTAACTGTGTTTCCTAGTTGTTTTTTATTATAACATAATTATGTAGATACTATGTTAGGAGGCAGAAAATATTAATTTTTGCTAATGATATTTGTAACCTTGGAGACATCTGTCTTCTTAAGCTTGATTCTTTGACCTTTCTGTGCGCTCTTCATTAAGTAATCTGCTTGGGTAGCATTGATCTCTTATTCTAAGACTTTTATTGTTGATAATTTATACACGTATAAATCAGCTATAGAGACCAGGCATGGTTGCTCATGCCTGTAATCCCAGCACTTTGGGAGGCCAAGGTGAGAGGATTGACTGAGTCCGTGGGTTCAAGACCAGCCTGGGCAACTTGGCAAGACCTTGACTCTACAATAAATCAAAAAATGAGCCAGGCGTGATGGTACATGCCTGTAGTTTCAGCTGCTTGGAAGGCTGAGGCGGAAGGTTCACCTGAACCTAGCAAGTTGAGGTTGAGGCTGTGGTGGCCATGAGCGTGCCACTGCACTCCAGCCTGGGCAACAGAGTGAAACTCCAACTCAAAAATTAGATAGATAGATAGATAGATAGATAGATAGATAGATAGATAGATAGATAGATAGATAGATAGATGATAGATAAATAGAATCAGAAGTAGAAAAATTAAATTTGATATTGTTCATATGTTCTAATATATCTAATACCTGAATAAATGAGGTTTCATTGTTATTTTTAAATGATTTAGTCTTTATTCTTTTTTTCACATATGTAAGAAGCTAATACTGCCAATGCAAATATCTGGCACAGTTATCCTACCTTGTTAGACTCAAAAATATAAATGTATCTAATAGAATAATGCCTTTACTGGGGAATGGGAAATAAGTAGTGTAGTCTATTAAAATTTGCCTATGTAAGTGCTGCAACTTTCTTTTTCCTCTCTAAATGGAAATCTTTCTAAATGTAATGTAAGATTCTTCTATAATAACATATTTGTGGTTCTACTATGGACCTCTGCTATAAATGACTTTTATATGATAATTTTAACCTTAGAATTATCAATATTGTTTAACATTATTTAACAGTGATTATTTATTTAGAATAGTGAAGTATAGTTTTTGTCCAAGAATCTTTTTATTACCTGATTTCTTCATTAGAATTGTGATCTGTCCTTTCAAATTTTACCGTAAAAGATCTTTGAGCTAAAACTTTGGGTGACAATTACTATTTGAATATGATGTTCTAATTCCAAGTTTTCCTATTCTGAAAAAAGTATTAATACCATTTATTTTCAGGAAGTGAGAACAACTCCCTCTATCTGTACTACAAAGGACTTTCTAAGACTTTGCTAACTTTTAAGTTTGATACAGTCAAAAGTGTTCTGGATAAAGATCGAAAAGAAGATGATACAAATGAATTTGTTAGTGCTGTGTGCTGGAGGGCACTACCAGATGGGGTAAGTTTTTATATTAGTTTTTTCACCTTGGAGTCTCGTATATACATTATATATACACAAATATTTTTGAATTTAAAAATATAAATTGTTATGTAATGTATATTTTCTCTTTTACTTACTGTTGTATCAGCAACGACAATAGAAATTTTAGGTAGTGGTTGAAATGTTACTGATAGAACAATGTCATGTTGTTCCTGCTATGTACCCATAGCATCTTGTGCATATCTCAGTTATAATCATTATCACATTATCTCTTTATATCACTCCTATAAGACTGAAAATCCCTCCAGAGTACACACTGTGTCTCATTTTTCTTATTGATCACATGCAGTATGTGTTCAGTATACATTAAACTCGGCTGATATTTTAATAGGAAGAAAAAGATTTGATGCAGGTAAAGAAGAATGGCCTGTGTGTGCACCTAAAATTAAATACTATTTCAGGAGAGAAGTATTCTTTACAGAATGCATTTATTTAAAAAGATTTAAACATATTCAGTCTCATGAGAAAATTACACTACTAGATTGTGAAAACAGAAGTTGCCACAAACATATCACTTATTCTTGGATTTTAAAGTATAAGCTTTTTCATAAACTATATGAATAGGGTTTTTTTTTTCTTTCTTGATTTATAAAATGTTACTTACTTATTAGTCGCATTTTTTAAAATAGGTTTTTAGGTGCTTAACTCAGTGGATTTTAATTTTGATAGAAAAAATTCTGACGTGATAGGTAATTTAAAATATCCAAGTTCCAGATACAATTTCACTTTAATAGATATATTCCGTTACTGTCTTATATAACATTCAATAGCTCAATTTCCAGTTTTGGCAATAACAGATTAAGTAGTTTGGACCAACCCTCCCTCTAAGTAGAATTAGAAAAGTTGGACCAAGTATATGTACTTTTAGAACAAAAACCTGTTTGGAGGCATTGGAAGGCAAACAAAACAGAAAAGAATTACCAGATTAGGATTGTGAGCCTGACTTTTGACTCTGTGAGCATTTACCAGGTTTGGTGGGGTGGCTGAAAGCTTATGGTGGCTTCGCAGGAGTGGAGGGATTCGAATCCATTGCCTGTCATCATATGGGTGACACAGTTTAAGTCCCCAAGGGGATATAGTCTGGGGTAAACCATTAGAAGGTAAGCCTTCATAGTGATTGCAGCTCAACTTTGTATCAGTCTCTGAAACTGAATTGAGGTTACCCTTGATTGCTAGTGTTCACAGTATGCAAACACCTCTCTGAAAGAGGATAACATCATGTAATTCATTTATTTTTTCAATTTTGCAACTATAATAACTAGGACAAAATAAAAAATAAACAGACATAAGAAAAGACAAGACAGCATGAATAAAACCAACTTAGGTGGTAGGCAGTAGAAACAGAATCACAGTAGCCCTAGACACCCTGAAAATAACCACCTTAATATGAAAGAAAATATTGAAAATTTCAAATGGGAACTGGAAATTATTTTAAAAATGAAAAACATCAAGCTGAAATAAAATGTAATTACCAAAATTAAAAGCTCAATGGGTGAATGAATGGAAGATAAAGGAAAAACAAGAATTAATGAGCTGGTAGGTAAATTAGGGAAAAATGTACAAAAGGAAGCATGAGAGACAAAAGTGATGAAAAAATACAGATAAAAGAAAGAGGATCAAGTAAGAACGTTTAACACATTCAGTAGGAGACCTTAAAGGAGAGAAGAGAAAGAATGCAGTGGAGCAAATATTAATAGGGATTATTTTGAGAACTTTACAAAGTTGAATCTATCAGCAGGCAGATAGATTCAGTAAGCCTTTGAACTGCTGAGAATGAATGACTTGTAATCTGCAACCTGGACTTTGAGCAGATCTAAACCTACCTGAAAATCTAGCCTTGAGTCTGGCTTCTTCCAGCACTATTTCCTTGGAAATATACTGAGTTAAGACAAATATGGAATGTTATGTACTAGGAGCTGGGTATCTCTTAAATTTACTGTGAAACTCCATCTGTAGTATCCCATCTGGCCTGAGAGAACTGTGGATTGGCATACTAACCTTATGCAAATTTAATAGTGTAAGACTGACAGGAAACCAGGGCACACACCTGTGGATTGAGGTAAACCACATGCACCTATCTGTCTCTGGCAACAGTGTGTATTCTGCATGGGTGGGAGAAGAGGCCCAAGAATGTATTCATGTGGATGGTTGCTTAGTCTCCTAATGAGTTTTATGAGTTTGAAGATACCGTGTGTGCTTAATTTCCAATCCTGTATTCTTCTGTAAAGTTAACTTAGGGCTAGATTAAAGCCACTTGTGTCTAATCCTGGGATCTCTGATGGTGGTTTAGGCACACTTTGGCACAACATGATAAAACTGTTGAAAGTAAATAAAATGCAATGAGAGATTCTTTTTCTTTATTTTAAGCCATCAGGTTTTCTTTATTGAAAGATGATAATTGTATATGTTTACAAGGTACAGTGTGATGTTTTAATACATATGTACATTATGAAATTATTAACGCAAACTAATTAACATATCCATCATCTCACATGCCCTTTTGGTAATGGAAGTATTTTAAATATATTCTGTTAGCAGTTTTGAAATATATGTTGCATCCTTATTATCTAGAGTCACCCTGCTTTGCAATACATCTCAAAAATTTATTCTTCTTGTCCAATTAATTGAAACTTTGTAACTTTTGACGAAGATTGTCTAATTCTCCCACTTTCATCCCCCCATCTCTGGTAACCACCATTCTATTCTCTACTTATGAGTTCAGCATTTTTAGATTCCACATAAAAGTGCAGTCATGCCATACTTTCTCTGTGTATGTCTTACTTCATTTAGCAAAATGTCCTCTAAATTCATCCATGTTGCAAATGACAAATTTCTTTCTTTGTTAAAGCTAAACAGATTCCACTATGTGTAAGCACTTGACCCTTGAACAATGCAGGAGTTAAAGGCACTGACCCCATGCAATAAAAAATTCATGTATAACTCTTGACTTGCCAAATACTTAACTACTAATAGCCTACTGTTAGAAGTCTTACCTGTAACATAAACATTAACACGTTTTTGTATGTTGTAAGTGTTATACACTGCAATCTTACAATAAAGTAAACTAGAGAAAAGAGGATCATCATAAAGATCTTTGCCCTCGTTGTCTTCCTGTTGAGTAGACTGAAGAAGAAGAGAAGTAAAAGGAGGGTTTGGTCTTGCTATCTATGAAGTGACAGAGAAGGAAGAAAATTCACATATAAGTGAATTCATGCCATTCAAACCTATATTGTTCAAGGATCAACTTAATACCACATATTTTTTGTCTGTTCATTTGTTGATGGACAGTTAAGTTGATTCCATAGCATAACTATTGTGAATAATACTGCAGTGAATATGGGAGTGCACTTGATTCTTGATATACTAGTTTCAGTTCTTTTGAATTTAAAGTGGGATTCAGTACCCAGAAGGAGAATTGCTGAATCATATTGTAGTTCTTTATTTAATTTTTTGAGGAACCTTCATATTATTTTCTGTAAGGGTTGTACCAATTTACATTCCCACCAACAGTGTTACAAGTGTTCCCTTTTCTTCACATTCTTACCAACTCTTGTCTTTCGCCTTTATTTAAACATTTCACTTGTGTCATTCATCTTTTTGCTGTTGTTGCTGTTGTTGTTGTTTGTCTGTTTGGTTTTTGAGTCAGAGTCTAACTCTATACCCCAGGCTGAGGTGGCATGATTACGGCTCACCACAACCTTGAACCTCCAGGGCTCAGGTGATCCTTCTGCTTCAGCCTCCAAAGTAGCTGGGACTACAGGCATGACCCACCACACCTTGCTAATTTTTTTTTTTTTGTAGTGATGAGATCTCACTGTGTTGCCCAGGCTGATCTCAAACTCCTGGGCTCAAGCCATTTCCCCACCTTAGCTTCCCAAAGTGTCCAGCCTTATTCATCTTTTTGATGATGAAAATTCTAATAGATGTGATATGATAATCTCATTTTGGTTTTAATTTGCATTTCCCTGATGATTAATCATATTGAGCATTTTTTCGTGTACCTGGTCGCCACTTGTATCCCTTTTTTTTGAGAAATGTCTATTCAGGTTCTATGTCCATTTTTGAAGTGGGTTGTTTTCTTGCTATTGAATTGTTCGGCTTCCTTCTATATCTTTATTTTATCCCTTAACTGATGTATAGTTTGGGACTGTTTTCTCTCAATTCGTATGTTGTCTCTTTTCTCTGTTGTTCCTTTGTTGTGCAAAAGCTTTATAGTTGATGCAGTCATGTTTGTCTATTTTTGCTTTTGTGGTCTGTACGTTGGGGGTCATATACAAAAAGTCATTGCCTAGACCAGAGTCATGGAGCATTTTCCTTATGTTTTTCCTACTAGTTTTATAGTTTAAAGTCTTATGTTTAAGTCTATAACCATTTTGAGTTAATTTTTGTGTATGGTGTGAGAGAAGGACTCAGTTTAATTCTTCTGCATATGGATATACAGTTTTTGTAGCACCATTTATTGAAGAGACTGTCATTTCCCCCCAAAGAGGGATTCCTAAAAGAAAGCAGAGAGAAACAATGGAAGCCAGATGATAGTTAAATCAGATATTCAGTGTTTGAAAGAAAATACTTGCCAACTAGAATTTTTCAGTGAAAAATCTCTGAAGGCAAAGGTAAAATAAAGATATTTTAAAATAAATAAAGCTGAAGAATTTGCCATCAGCAGACATACACTAAAGAAAACCTTAAAGGATATTCTTAAGGTGGAAGGGAAAAGATTTTACGTAAAGATCATATCTTTTTTATTTAGAGACTGGATTTAGGTAAAGAACACATATGTTCTATGTCTATGTGGATGTTTCTGTGGCATGGCTCTTTCCTGAAACTATTGTAATAAAATATAAACTTGTGTTTCAGTTGTGTAAATGAATATGTTTGTTCCTAAGTGATCATACCTTTGTGAAAGGACACTATATTTTTGTTTGGGACAAATTCTTAGTCCGTAATAACATCTGCTG